GGAGGAACAATCAGACAAAAATTTCCACTTACTGGACGACTGTGTTCGTGGATACGACATACTCCACTTCCTTCGTCCATGGGTTCCGGAAGCCGAAGCAGCGAGACTTGAGGTGGATAAAGCGGCCATTTTTTAACTTGAACCGGTAAACATCAGTCTCCAGTTTTTCTTTTGACGATAATACTGCGGATAAAAAGAGAAGCCATTGTAGAGGACCCCGGTTTGAACCCTAATGGGGCATTCTTTGACATGAGTTGTTCAAGAAGTTTTCAAATCTCTTCTCCAATACGGCTTGGTCCTATCCATAGACTTGTAGGCCTAGACTGCCCACTGTCATGGCCATAGCTCTTTGTTCTCTGTAAAAACTTCTGTACGAAGCATGCCCACCATGGGCTTCGCTATTTCCCTCACATGAAGCAGAAAACATGAGTCTCACTATAGTCGAGAGCATGCGACACATTTCCCTGTTGCCCTCCATAATTTTGCTCAGATTGATTAAAATCATGTGCTCCACATAGAAAAAGCAAGACAGACAGGCAGAAATAACAGAAAGAAAGAAAAAATGTACATTGACATTTAATCAGTCCCTCAGTACTCGACAAACAAAGTATCTCTTCTATCCTTACAAGAAGTAAATAACTTGTCATCGTACAACAAAAAAACCCCAGTTGATTTGGCTCACCTTTTCTATGCACCTGACCCATTGCAGGAATATCGTCTTGGTGGTAGTACTCGTAAACAGACGTGCCTAAAAGCTCTTGGGGGAGGTAACCCAGGATCACAGTTGCCCTGAAATCCAGAAAACATTTACAAGTGATAGTTCAGTAGTAGATTACACCTATATAGAGCATGTAAATCCATACTTCAAAGCAGGCTCAATGCATTTTTACCATTTATTATAGCTCCAGTAAATCTTAAAACATTCTCCAACACTTTTCTGGGAAGCATCTCCATACCCCCAATATCCCTGATCCCACATTGTCCTCAATCCCACTCCAACGCTCGCCCCAAACCTACTCCCATCGCCACCACACAGACACACATACAAACACACAGCGTTACCCATCCATACCTCCCTCCATCCACCCACCTATTCACCCATCCCTACCTCTCTCCATCCTCCCACACCTCCCTCCATCCACCCATCCATCCACGCCTCCCTTCATCAACCCACCCACCCACCCATCCCTCCTCTGTCACATATACCCTACCTCTCATCCACGTAGGTGAACTTGCCCTCCACCGTGTGTCGGGACATGTACTCCATAGAGCGGACCTTGATGTGACTGCTCTCCTCGGCCATGTAGGGTGCCACCCACTCACCACACTCCTATCCCATTCCCCGACCACGCATCCATACAATTCCACTCCACCCTCCCCCACCCCTGATCCCCCTCTCTTCACCCATTCCCACTCTAGCCCCCGACCATGCCTCCACTCCTACCCCTGACCCACCCACCACCCCCCTCCCTTCACTCACACCAAGCATCATCATCCATCCATCAACCATCCATTCACTCATACACCCACCTATCCACACATCCATCCATTCACCTACACATCAATCCGCCCTCCCTCTCTCCCCCGCTTCACTCCCTCCCTCCCTACACCCACCCACCCACCCATCCCTCCTCTTGCCACATA